ACGATGTTGCCCCCAGCCCTGCAAGCGCACGGGGAGCACACCACGAGCATGCAGGGATGCTCGGGGCACTCGGCCGGCCTGGGCCCGGGAGCGTGTGCCCAGCGTGGGCAAGGGGCCACGTGCGCACCACGGGCACTCACAGGCGTGCAAGGAGGCCTGGGGGGCAGATGCACGAGCACACTGCGGGCCGGTGCGCGCCGCATGCGTGCGGGGAGCTCGCAGCTGCCGGGATGGGGGGGCCGGTGAGCTCTGCCCACCAGCTGTCCGGCAGCATAAATCTTCCTGTTTAATCGCAGCTCGGAGAGACTCGCCATTGTCTGCAGGACCAACCCAACCCCACAAAAACCTGCCGGCCCCATCTGCTCTGCCCTCACGCCCCCCTTCCTCGCATTCCCCCTCCTTGCATACCCCCGGCTGGGGGATGTCGGCTTGCTGCAAGTGCAGCAGTCCCTGCCAGCTCTTGCCTGTCAGGCGCTGGGCTCGCACCTTTGGGCGAGCCCCTGCCTCTCTCCTGGCCTCAGTTTCCCTTTGTGGGCAGATGCTGTTTGCAGCACGACCACAGGACCACAGGGGGGCTTGGCCACGAGAGGATGGAGGGAGCCATAAGGGACCAAATTCCTTTTCCCCTTTCAACACCAAAGAGCCCCAGCTCGTCTTCGGGGGGGGATGCTGAGAACCCCAACCCCAAAGGAGAGAAACACAAGCCCTGTCTCGGCCCCAAGCACCCAAGGCTGCCAGTGCAGAGCCCAAAGCCGTGGCTGCCTGCGGGGCCCCAAGACGGCAGATGGTCAGAGGGGAGGCGGTGGCAGCAAGGCAGGTGCAGGGGAAAATTGCTAATTAGCTACGGGACATTAAGCTCCCATTCTTGCGAGAGGGAACTCGGCATCTTCCAACCGGTGCAGACCCAGGAGGCAGGTCTGGGGAGGGGGGACACGGTGGTTTCCAGCCTTGTCTCCTTGCTTTGCTGCTTCTGCTGGTGTGAAATCCACCCCATCCCAGCCTGGTATCACCTCTGGGCCACCCCAAGCGCCCTGAAAGCCACAGGATGTGATAGCAGGCAGGGGGCTGCAGGCACAGGTCTTTTCCTCTGGGTTTTCTTCTAAAAAATGGGGGAAAAAAAGAAATCCCCAATGTGGAGCAGGTAACAGACTCAAAGGCAGGGGAGCATGCAGAGAAGGTATACGGGGAGGAGTCGGTGCTTGGAGGAAGAGGATTGCTGCGTTACAGACCCAGAGATTAAGAACGCAGCTCTGGCGTGGTCAATCTGGATTCAGGCTTAACAAAGCCTAACAGCATCCCCACCCAGACAGGTCCTGAGCCTGTACTTTGTGCCTGGGAGCTCATCAGACAGTAACGGGGCTCAAGAAACAAGTTTTCCAGCCCAGTTTTAACAGTGACAAGTCAAATCTGCCTGGCTGGAGTTTCAGAGGTGGGAATCAGCCCTGTGGGTGTGGGAGAGACCCCAGAACCCCGGCGAGAGTCTACCCCTTCATGGGGAAGAGAGGAGGGCATGGCTCTCGTCCATGTGTCCCCAAGAACATGCTGAGCCTGGAAACACCAGCCCAAAGCCCAGCACCGGCTGGATGGACAGATGGATGGATGGACGGACGGACGGACGGACGGATGGATGGATGGATGGATGGACGGGCGGATGGATGCACCACTCTGAGATACCAAGGCCGGCAGCAGCAGCGCCGGGGGGGGGAGGCGGCTGTGGCTCTGCCCTGGTCTTTCCCAAGGGGATGGAGCGACCCACCCCGAGCCCCAAGGGAGCCAGCCCAGCTCCCCCAGCAGCTGGGCTGCCTCTCCCGGCTCATCCACCGGCCTTATCTATGCCTGCGTCATCCCACTTCCCTTCCTCTCTTAACACCGCTCTATTTTTGGCAGCAGGAAACCCCTCCTGGGCTGATAACACCCCTTTGGAAAGTGATCTGAAGGGTTTCCTCTTCTTCTTTCTAATGCTGGAGGTAAGAAAAGCCTCAATGTTTCTGTTTTCCCCTGGAGAGGGTGAAATAGCAGCCAGCAGCCCCGCGCCAGGCTGGACCCGTGGGCAGCGGGCAGCGGCAGGGGCACCACGGGGGCTGCCCACATGGACCCTCTTGCCCAGGTAGAAGCGTGCGGTGGAAAGCCCGGCTGGAGCCGTGCTGTGGGGCAGGGACTCGTGGCTCCAGCTAGACCCACAGGAGCGGCGGGCAAGCGCAGGTGCCAGTGTCCCAGGCTCCCTGGGTGACACACGGCTCCGCAATGCAAAACCCTCCCACTGACCTCACCGCTGAGCCTTATCGGCGAGGCGTTGGAGCAAGACGAATGAGCCAAGAAAATACTCACGGGATGAGATCACCTCGGCTGTCTTCGCGGTTCCCAAAATGCCTCGGCCATGCCGAGCCCGGATAACCAGAGCATTGTGGGCAGTTGAAGGTGCCTGCGATGGAGAGGAGGTTTGCAGATGGCTTTAGGCTGGGCTCAGTGCATCTCCTGGGGCAATGGTTATGGTGGTGAAAGCATCCCCCAGCCGCCGAGCACCGCTGCTGGGCTGCGGGATGCTGAACTCCCCAAACCACTGTGTGGCAATTTGCCCTATAAAGCTCCCTCCAGGTACCTGCTTCTCTCCCAAGATCCTGATTCAAAGTGCAACTGGGTGGGAAGGAGAACCTGGAGTTCAAGGAATCACACAAGTGCCTTTCCTGTGCTGTTTCCCGGTACCAGGATCCATGTGGGGTGCACAGTGGGGGGAGCCCCCAGGCTGTCCTTCAAGGGTACCGGGATGCTGCATCCCTGTGGGCACGGAGCAAAGGCAGCGCCCGGGCCCTTCCTCTCACCACCCAGCATCCCAGCTGAGTGCTCCAGTCCTGGAGACACTCCCACCAGGCCCGACTCCTCTTCCATGTCCTCTGATACCGGTTTCTCTCTGGCAGCTTGAAATGGGAGTCGTGCCATTTTGGGGGTGTCCCAGCTCTGCCCCCCGTGGGGATGTGTGGCCTGGGGTGCTGCTGTGCGACGGGGGTGAACCTCATTCCCGTGGTCTTTCCCACGGCTGCGACTCAGATGGGGAACACTCCTCAACGTGCTTGGGGAAGGTATGGGTGGGAATGGGGCCCTCCTGGCTTTTGCCTGGTCCCCTCATTCCTTTTCTTGCAGCTTCGTGAGCTGGTGACTGATAAGGCTCTTCCTCCATGGAGGAAGGAAAGATCCCTTCCTGCCCATGGGGAACCGAAGCAGCCTCAGTGGGGACTCAGCTGGAGCAATGGGGGGACCAGGGCCAGTCCCATTGGAAAGAGGCTGATAGGGACATCCCCACGGGCAGCCATCCCCTGAGACATGGCTCCAGCACAGCTCCTGCCTGCCCCATTGCTCTGGGAAAGAGCAGGTTGCCTCCATGCCTCAGATGTCTGGCCCGGAGCCAGAGCCCTGAGAGTCCCCCTTCTTTGGAGGGATGCTGGGTCTGGCCCCAGGTGAGGGTCACACAAGGTTGGGGCGCTCCTGCGCCCCCCCACTCCTGGTCCTGGGTGCTCTCCTCTTCCCCTGGGGCAGGGCAGGACCGCCTGCTGTGCAGCTGGGATGTCCCAAAACCAGTGCCTGGGTAACCCAGGGGACATCCCTGCTCCCCAGCAAGGGTACTTTTGCCATGGTTCTCCATTGATCAGACACCTAGGGAGGTGATGCCACGGGCACATTCACAAAGCCCCTTCTCAGGAATTCAGGGAGGGAAAGCACAACTGGAACCCCCCCGGCTGCTGCTCATCCACGGGATAACACGGATTTGTGAGCGTGACACAGTCAGGGATGTGCTCCTGGGTGTGCGCACCGATAGCTTCTGCAGTGCTGCAGCTTCACCCTCCCAGCCGTCCTGGCTGCCGGCTCTGGCTCTGGCAGCCGCTCTGCAGGACCAAAACCGATTCCCGGTGGCAGGGACAAGCCTTGCCTGGCCTTTGGGAAGTCATCACTGTAGGAGCCCAGCAAGGCAGCAGCAAGGCTGGATGCC